ATCGTTTCACGATCAATCACAAATGCATATAAGACCTGGAATTTCATCACAGACACTTGGGAAAGCATAAAATACAAAAAATTGGGTTCGATTCCCCTATGAAAACCTTCATATCATGAATACCTATGTCAAAATGCATGTTTTGCAAATAAGAACAAAAATGGGCATATATAGCTTCATATATGGCTTAGACACGGTGATTTAACATGCCTATGCCTTAGTAATAAGGGCTAAATATCGCCTATTTTAGGTGTTATCAAACTCCCCCACACTTAGGCGTTTGCTTGTCCGCAAACCTACTCAAACTAATGCAACTTGATAGAAAAATCAATGGGGATGCACTGTAGTTCTTCATTGCATAAAGAAGAGTAAGAGAGACGAGAAAACGTTACTATCATCTTACTGTGCAGACACAAACTCTATGGTGAGGACCATACTTACTAGTTACTACTTTAGGATAAACATTCAAGGTGTGCACCGGGGGACTTCTCAACAACCATTAAACAAAGGAACTCTAGAGGGTGCTCTTTATTCTTTCCTTCAATTTAGGAGTTTTCATTTATTGGTCTCCTTTTTTCACGTTGACGTGCATTGCACCAATCTTTTGCAAGCTTTCTTGGAAGTAAACATCTCTCCCTCAAGACTAAGAGCGGATGGATCATTGCCTTCCCTATGAAGGTCACAGGGAGGGAAGTTGATGGGCGGATTTGTCTTAGCCCGAGCACCACTTCCCAGCCTGCACTCCACATTGGGTTGCCACACATGTTGGGTACAAACGAGAGCATTCAAGTCTCTTGAACACCTAAACGCATCCGTGAACTCAACGTCATCCAAAACGCACCGCTTGACTGTCCAAAACTTAGCGTCTTAGAGACCGTGAACTGCCTTGTCGTCAGTAACTTCAGGAACCTCGCTGGACGCCTGGGTGTTCACGATTTTTGGTTAAAGGTCACGGTCTAAAGAGACCGTGAACTACCTCGTCCGGCCGTGAACTGCGACTGTTTTTTGGACGCCTTCAATTCACTACTACGAGGAAATTGTCACGGTACTTCGGACTTTTCTTCGGTTTTTTGCGCTTTTTGACCTCCAATTATCCAAAAATTCGAGCTCGACCCTTCCACACATGCTAGGACCTGAAATGTATCAAAACAAGCACAACCTAGCGTGAAGTATTTCGAGGTAAGTTTACAACTTATTTTTTCAACACAATTTTTGGGGCATGTCATAGGGCACAAAACGAATGAATCACAATGGTTATTTGACACCGACCTATGGACAAAAATAAAGTAATCTTGGCAACCACCACAAACGACATTCAACTGTATTAAGATTGTGCAAAAGAAGAGTTATCAAATTATTCATGAACCCACACACAACATGCCTCGACGATTGACCAATCACAGTTACTCATGCATGACGATCACATCATAGGAACGAACGATCGAGCAACCTAGGTCCTCACCGGGGTATAAGAAATGAACAAAACATGATGAATGAATCACTCACTCTCGACTAGTGTGGTGATGACCATTTGATGCAAAAGATGTGCATATTCACGCTCAATCCTAACGTCCCTTTATCATGACGGTAGCCTCTAAACGTTAGAGTTCACAACATGGGTGTCGTTGCTAGCTTGTCCGGAGGTCTTAGACACAGGTTCAAATGACTGGCTAGGGTCTAGGACATGGGGAAAAGGCTTTTTGGGTGGTGGCAAACAAAACATGAGGTTGCACATCTTCAACCTAAGACTCAAGGTTATATGGTTTCGACTAGAACTTTCTCCTATACTCAATGGCCACTAGCATCGGCCATAAACCACACTTTCGATTCCAAACCACAACCAGTCACCAAACCATTTGCAACAATCTTTCTTGCTACCTTTGCTATTCAATTTCAAGCACAAGAGTGTGGTAGGCAAACAACATGTAAGTGTTCCTAAAGCTTGCATGCTAAGCAACACTTCTAAGAGTATGTTCAACATTTATTATATTTTTGGTGGCCACTCTCTTTTCTTCTTTGTCCTCTTACTAATCTCTTTTTTTTCTTTTTTTGTTTTTCTTTCTTTTCTTATCTTTTCTTTGGGGGCTAAAGAGAGCTATAAACATGCCACAATTTTGAACTTAAGGAACAATGCTCACTTTGAAAAACTTCCTCCACACTCACTTCACCTCTTAGCAAAACCATACATAAATCACTAATGTGGAACCTCATTTAAGCTCAAATGGTATGAATGGAGCTTCCAAACACAAGGGTGACTCGATAACGGTGTAGACACGAAGAAAGTAGGGTCGTTCTATCTAAATCAATCAAGCTAAAGTAGCAAGAGCTACCTAAAATGAGAGCGAACTTTAGACACACGGCTCAAACGGGTTGAGTAGGGGATAATGAGATCGGGACGGTCAACATTTGGGTCGTGGACTAAACCTATGCCTCCATCTTACTTGCTAACAACAATGTGAATGCTACACATCATGTAAAGGGGGGGGGGGGGGGGGGGGGGGGGGGGGGGGGGGGGGGGGGGGGGGGGGGGGGGGGGGGGGGGGGGGAACTATCGCACAAGAAGAAACGAACAGCACAAGTTTCACATGGCTACCTAGGTGCTCAATCATTCATTCTAACTCCCTAAACTCGATGCAAAGGAAACTGTGAAAATCATGTAACCAATTCAAAACATCTATCGGTTCACAAACACATGAGAAATGAACCTATGCACAAACCTAATACATGTCTCCGTCATCATCATGGGTTGCACACAATCACAAGCAAATCATCCATAGACCATGCTAATAACCACGAGATTCAAAACAAATCACCACAAGATGCCACTATGATCATGCAAATGTAGAAGTTGTTATGCTTGGAGCCCTCAGATTTTAAAAATTTGGGCATACATCTAGGCTCCAAAGCATTCAAAATCACAACAATCATTCACACACACATGCGCAGTGGACTACCCCCCCCCCCCCCCACCCCAAACACACTTAAGCTCGACATCGCCCTCAATGGCGTAAAAGAAGGGGATAGAACGATGTTACCGGTCAAGTTGTGAATGTTGGTGATCGGGAGCGGAGGGCGGGTGCGATCCGGAAGAGCAAGGAGACGGTAAAAAACCACCAAAATCTCTACATTGATCGTCTTATTGAAAGGAAAAGAGATGCCAACCGTTGATGGTTGGGTTGCCTCCCACCAAGCGCTTCTTTAACATCGTGAGCCAGACGGTTACTCCTCAAGTTTCGGTCCACCCAAGAACCTCCTTGAAGTTAAGGTTCTCGTCGGTGAGGAGATGTCTCAAGTCACGAGCATTGGACGAGTCCATGATTGAGGGCTCATGAACTTGAGTGGCTTTGAGGCTCCACCCACGAGACCTCTTCTTCTTTATTCTCTTTGCCCCATACTATGTAGTGCAAACTCGATTGGTTTCCATCGCATCCACCATGAGGGATCACCGATGGTTTGGCCTTGGCTTGGCAAAGAGCCGCAAATGGGTCCTTCTCCAAAAGCGCGTCGAGGTCGGGTGGAAAGCTTTCATAGCCCTCGTAACTTGTGGATGCTTCATCCACCCCGACCTCGTCCTCATCTTGGACGCTACTTGCTCATTTTACTTCATCTTCAAACTCCCTTCCTTCTTCTTCTTCTTCTTCTTCTTCAATTTCCTCCCCTTGGGAACACTCGATATCTTCCCCCTCTTCAATGCTTTCTTCCTCCTCTTCAACCTCTTCTTTCTCCTTCTCTTTCATGTCTTCAAGCACGGTTTGGAGGGCAAGGTGCCATGCACCATGCAAGATCATAGAAAGGATTCTCTTGCTCATCCTCACTCATGTCTTGGTCTTCAAAGTTGCTTTCGAGAAGGGGAAAGTGATGGGAGTCATCAATGCAACATTCTTGTTCATCCTCACCACGTGAGCTCTCGGGGGTGAGTTCTTCTTGCTCCACACGGTTGTCATTGAGAGCCCCTTCAACCTCCTCTTTATCCTCCAATAATGAGCGGCGATAGCTTTCACAAGCTCGTGCCACTTTCTCTTCTAGTGTCAAATCGGGAGGAGGGAGGGGTTGGAAATCCATGTCGGAGCTCAATCTTCCAAAATCATCATGGCTCGCCTCTTCGACTTCCTCTCTTTCTTCCAATGGTGGGAGGCGATTGTGAGAAAGATGTGCACATGCTTCCTCTCCAAGCCGTCCTAGCCTCTCATGCATAGACGAAGCTCCTACGCCTCCTGAAGAAAGGTTGAGTCGATAGGGTTGGCGATTGGGAGGTCATTGCTAGAGTACCCTTCATTGGTGCCTCGGGCGAATCGCTCCACCATGAGCTCTAATTTGGTCTTTGGCTTTGGTTGTGGAGTGGCACATGGTCTCGATGATTGTCCCATGAAAGCTTCCATGGCCAACTCCAACTTGGATTTCTCCTCGGGTTGTGGAGGGAAACCTTCTTGATATGGGGAAGCCTCTTCATACCCCCAATGGTGGTTGTTCTTCTTGGAAGGGGGGGGGGGGGGGGGACACGCTAAAACACAACACCTAACAATGGCCAAGTGTAACCAATGAAAGGGACTGTAGTATAGGCAAGTTTAATTATCAACCCGGGGTCTAGATCTACTGCTTACTCCGTGATTCTCTATTATCTAGCAAACTAAGTCGAGTGATTGTTGTGAAAAGTAAAAGCAACAAGAAAGCAGTAAATTGTTCGGTTTCTAAAGCAGGCAAGAGTCACTCGGGATTGAGTCCCCCTAGCCCCTTGGTTAGGTTCAGTTGCAATTCCCTAACACAAGGAACTAGGGTTCTTCATACCCAAGTGAGAGAAAGGTTCTACTCCATAGAGAGAGAAGAGAAAACAAGAATCGGATTAGTCATACTCATAACGATGAGGATAATCTGCTCCGGGACGATGATTTCCACTCCTATGACGATCTCCAGGCTCGATTCGATGAAATCCAGCTCCAGGACAGCTTCTAGGATGTGTTCTTCGCACTTTCTCTCTCTAGGGCTCTGTTTTTGCTCTGAAAACACGATTCTCTCACTTTTGGCTCGAATTAGGCTTTAAAACCGACTTTCCCGAGTTGCACGGCCAGGTGCACGGCCGTGCACAACACCATTCTGGCCGTGCACCCTCAAAACGCACCGTATCAATTATTCGGCCTTCATCCACCTTGCACGGCCAGGCGCACGGCCGTGCAAGCTTCAAGCCTGCCCGTGCATGGCCTCGACATGAGGTGCACGGCCAAATGGCTCAAGTGCACGGCCGTGCAGCCTCCTGGTCTGCCCGTGCACTCCCCAAACAGCTCGCCCTTCGTCCGTTCTGCGTCCAATCGACCCCAGACTCGCTCCTTAGCCTTCATTCACGTACTAGGACCTGAAATAACACAAACAAGCACAACCTAGCGTGAAATCGGCCTAAAACACGAGAATCAACACCTCAAACGGTGTAAGTATGAGGGTAAAAACATGTGTAAATGACGGTCTATCAAACTCTCCCACACTTAACCGTTTGCTTGTCCCCAAGCAAACCAAGTCAGACACTAAGTAAGCTTACATATTTCAATCAACCAACATTGGGGACAAGTCATAAAGGCACACAACACGTGAATCACACTGGTTCTCAAACATCAATACATGCACAACCTCACTAACAACCTGGACAACCACCACAGAGGACATTCGAGTGCAGCAAATCGAGTAAAGGAAGAGTCCCCCTTCTGTTCACTGGCCAACCTAGACTTGATTCAACCACTTACTCAAAACAGTCAACTCATGCATCCAACTCAAGACATCAGAATAGAGACCGAGCAATCTAGGTCCTCACCGGGGTACAAGAGCATATAGAAAATGAAAATGAATCACTCACTCTCGACCAGTGGGGTCAGGACAATTTGATGCGAAAGATGCGCATGCTATTTCTCTCAATACCTATCATCTCTTCACCATGATGGCAGCCTCTAAATGCTAGAGTTCACATATGGGGTGTCACCACTAACTAATCAGGAGGTCTTAGACACAGGTTCAAATGACTGGCTAGGGTCTTGGACATGGGGAAAAGGCCTTTTAGGTGGTGGAAGAATTCATAGCAAAAGGTTCCACATTTCCCAAACACACAATCACAGTCAAACAACCCGGTATTTTCTTTCTGCTATTCTGCATTACTCAATATCTTAAGAGCACAAGAGCGAAGGAGGCATAAACATCAGCATTTCCAAGCCAGACTGCTAAGAAACACTGCTTACTGGGCATTATTCAGATTTTTGGCAGTGGCTCTCTTTTGCTTTCAATTTTTTCTTTGTTTTTCTTTTATTTTTCTTTTCATTTCTTAAGAGAGCCACCACTTCTGCATAAATTTCAAACACCTGCCCAACTTTTAAGTACTACCTCCAACACTCACATAGACTTTAGCAGAAACAGCAGAGAATATATAAAAACCACTCCGTGGAACCTTCTAAAAGATGCAACAAGGGTGATTTTTTCCATTATAGACCAAAAGAAAGGATAACACACGGCTCAAAGGGGCTGACTAGGGGATATGACACATCAGGACAGTCAGTTTTTGGGCGTGGGCTAATCCTATGCCCCCATCATTTTAGCTAATGACAACGTGAATGCTACACATCATGGAAGAGGGATCTATCGCACAAGAAAGAAACGAGCAGGCTCAAATCTCACATGACTACCTATATGCTCTATCTCACATTCTGATACCTTGAACTAGATGCATAAACGACTGTCAAGAACAAGTAATCAGATCAAGTCAGATCAAGTCACAGTTGGCAAGCAAACAGTTGAAAAACTGAACCCCTACATCGTTCTACTGCACATCTCAGTCCTCATCATAGGTTGTCCTAGTCGCAAACAGGTTGTCATGCATTAATCCGAAAACCAATCAATTCATCCATCAAAACACAGTGCCAATATGATCAAACAGCAGTACTTGGAGCCCTCAAATCGTAAGATTCGGACAGTGGACTAGGCTCCAAGCACCATCAAAAATACTCCAACCGATACAAAACATCCCCCCACACTTAAGCACGACATTGCCCTCAATGGAGTAGAGGGAAAGATAAGGGGAACGATGTTACCGGGTAAGAACGCTGCTAGGGGACTGGAAGTGGACCAGTCAGCGAGAAGCGAACGGGGAAGTGGTCAATACTGCACAAATCGAACATCAGAAACACTAGCACACTGGCGTTAGGGATAATTGTTAGCCCAGACGGCTACATCAAACCACAAAGGAAAAACCAAAAACAAAAAACAAACGACAAAAAGTTCAAGCTCCGCACACATGGAGCAAACACTCAAAAGTCAAACAAAAACAAACAAAAACAAACACACTGAGACGGGCAACGAGTACAGCCTACTCGTCGCCAAGATCGTCGAGATCGATGTCGTTCATGAACGCATCATCATCAGCAGCGCCAGCCGCACCGTCATGTGGAGGGGAGTCATCCCAGGGAGTCCTCCAGACAGGTGGATCGCCCGGAACCAGCTGAAGCAGGTGCTGCTGAACCTCCTGCATGCGCCGGGAGCGGCGCTTCTCCCGCTCGATATGGGCGAGAGTCACGTCCTGCTGAGCCTGGATCGTGTCCAGCCTGTGCCGGTACTCGGCCTGATCTGCCGCGTACTACTGCTGGAACTGCATCTGCTGGTCAAGGAGCAGCTGGTTCTGGATCCTCAGCTGCTCGAACTGCTGGGTGAAGTAGTCCTAGCCCGGGAAAGTGGAGCTGCCACCCCCAAAATGGAAGTCAGTCTGTGGGGGATCATCAGCAGCATCCGCAGCAGCATCCACAGCAGCATCCACCTCATCGGGGTCCACCTCCTCGTCAGCCTCCTCCTCGGGCTCCGCGGGGATAGGGGGCTCCGGAAATCCCTCGACCCACTGAACACCGTTCCTCTCCCGCAACAGCAGCATCTTCCCGATCGTGGCGTTGCCAAAGATGGGGGTCTCCCCCTCCTTGGTGCACCCCTGCAGTGAGAGGCCGAAGAAGGTAACCAGGCGGGTGATGAGGGGGGCGCAGTGGAGGCTCTTCAGCTCTGTGGCCGTCTTCTCGAATGTCTTGGCCACCACCGAACCCAGGTGGAGAGGATGGCGGCGCTGGCGGATCGAATCGAGGAAGTACAGGGGCCTCTTCGTGATGTGGCCGGCGCTGTCATATGCAGGAGTGTAAGACTTTGCCAGCAGGTGGTGGAGAAGTCGGTACTCGATCCGCAGGGTAGATGCCTTCGTCCTTCCAGACTTGAAAGGACGCGTCTGGCCAGGCTGAGCCAGGCTGGTGTACAGCCTCTTGAAGTCCACCTCCAGTGGCTCAGTAGCCTCGGTGACGTAGTCCCGACTGTCATCGAGGTCGAGGTCGAGAGCCTCGGCCAGCTCGTGGTAGCTCAAGGACCTGGGAACACCACCCAGCCTGAATTGGACGGCTGTACTGTCATGGTATCTGGTCGTGGAGTTGTGCTTGAAAGTGGTGTAGAACTCCCACACCGGCTCGTAGTAGACCGTCTCGCAGATCTGGAGCAGACGGCGCCATGCGGTGTTGGCGACCACGGCAGAAAGCTGCTCGTAGCAGTGCAGTTCCCGAAACTCCCGTTTGGACCAGCAATGGTGGGCGCCAAACGGGGTTTCCACGACTTTCTTGAAGCGCTCTCCGGTGGAGCCCCTCCTGAGATCCCGGATGAACGGGTGCTGGAAGTTCGGTTGTACCATTGCCCTGCAAAACAACAACCCAAAGTGGAACCAAAAGAGCCAAAGAAAAGGTCAAGCCCACCCCCACACTTAAGAACAGAAAGCAGCCGAACCATGGTTTCATCCATAGTTCGGGGGTCAAAAACTCGATAAATCAAGCATAATCTGGGTGGGGGTGCACATTCACAAGAAAGTAGGCAACTCAAGGTTCACATCCATAGCAAATACACCCACAAACTACATCATTAAGGGCCCCAACCGGTGGCCACAACATGGCATGGAAAACAGGCATTTCATCGAACACCTTGTGTGCACTATTAAGTGAAGCATGAAATTGGCCAAATTCTCGCACACAAGGGCTCAAACAAGCAAATGGGACATTGCCCAACATAATTCAATCACATCCCATGCATTCCCCTCAATCAATTTCACACAAATCACAGGATTCAATAAGATTCTCTAACATACACCCTACACACTCAATTCTCCACAATTAACATAGTTAGGGACAAAATCAAACCTGTAGACTCAAGTAGAGGTGTAGGGGATGATGAGGGGAATACAACGGAGTCGACGAAAGGCCGAAAATATGGCCGGAAATGCTTGTCGGAGCCTCGCCGGATTCTCGCCGGAAATCGCCTCCGGCGACACAAATGTCGGCCAAACACGCTCAAACTCGGGGGATAGGCCGCTTTGGGTGTAGAAGTAGTGGGTTTGGTGTTGGTTTGGTGAAAAAAGTACCCAAAGTGGCCGGAAAAGTCGAAAAAGGTGGGTTTGGCGCGGTTTTCCGGCGAGGGGAGAGGTTTCCGGCGAAGAAATTTGGTTTTCTGACCACAATGGCCGTGCACGGCCATTTATATAGCCCGTGCCTCGGCTGCACGGGCAGAGGCGCACGGCCGTGCACCTTGGCTTTTTGCCCGTGCAGGCCGACACGGCCTGGCCGAGGGTTTTGCACGGCCGTGCACAAGGCACTTTTGGCCGTGCAACTAACGCCGAGAGCTCGCACGGCCAAGGGGTGGTATCCGCACGGCCGTGCGAGGCTTCAAGTTGCCCGTGCAAGGCTGCACGGCCTGGCCGAGGGTGCTGCACGGCCGTGCACAACGCGCTTTTGGCCGTGCACTCCTGGCCGAGAGCTCGCACGGCCAGGCCAGGCTAGGCGCACGGCCGTGCAAGTTGATTTTCTGGCCGTGCACCTTGCTGGGGTCCCGAAATCAACCTGTTTTCACTCAAAAACGACACGTAACTCCGGATCAACGTCTCAAGACTCAAAAACACACAAAATCAAAGGAAAAAGAGTAAGAAAATGCAAACCTCGGTGGGGTTGCCTCCCCACAAGCGCTTCTTTACCGTCTTTTAGCTGGACGCCAGTATGGATGCTCAGGGAAGTGTAGGATCAGGTGCCTTCAAGAGCGGATCCACATCGCTCTTGAGGTACAGCTTCAAATGGTGGCCATGGACGCGACGAATGTGGCCACCAGCATTTGCCAGCTCGACTTGGCCATCCGGTAGGATGCAAGCGAGTGAATACTCGGATGGCCAAGGTGGGGGCGGGACCAGCTCATAGTGGTCTCCGGCTTTCCTTCGAGCAGGCTTAGCTGCCTGCAGTTTCGGCCGCCACTCCTCCTTGATCTGTTCTTTGGATGACGGGGTGGTCCGGAGTGGCGGCGAAGGTGTGGGAGGCGGTTCCTGCAAAATAGGCAGCACAGAAGGATACACGACAGACTCGTGCTCCTGGTGAGATACAGCATGCAGAGGTAACGAAGCAGGTATAGTGTTAGCAACAGAAAATGTTATTCGCTCCTCGCCATCCCTCAGAACTAAGGTCCCATCATGCACATCTATGAGAGCCTTGGCGGTGGCCAGGAAAGGCCTTCCCAGTATAAGAGTCACTTCTGTGTCCTCACTGATGTCCAGGATAACAAAATCCACAGGATATGTGAATTTGCCAACCTTAACCAGAAGGTCTTCCACTATACCCCTAGGATGCACTACCGATCTGTCAGCTAACTGAAGGGTCATCCTAGTAGCACGGGGTTCACCTAGGCCTAGTTTCATGAACAATTTGTATGGAATAACATTGATACTAGCACCTAAATCCGCCAAGGACTTCTCTACATGCAATTTACCAATAGAGCACGGGATAGTGAAACTACCTGGGTCCTTTTTCTTCTGCGGAAGCTTGTTCTGCAGAATAGCCGAGCACTCCTCGCTGAGCTCCACAGTGGCCAGCTCACTCAGCTTCTGCTTCTTTGAGAGAAGCTCTTTCAGAAACTTCGCATACCTTGGCATTTGCGCTAGTGCCTCCAGGAAGGGCACTTGGACATTCAGCTTCTTAAGCATGGCCATGAAGTTCACGAACTCTGTCTCCAGCCTGTCTCTGTGCAACCGAGTAGGGAAAGGGAGTTTAGGGACATACTCCTTCACTACTGGTTGCGGTTTAGGTGCAGGCACCTCAACCTCCTTCTCTACTTCCTGTTCAACCGCTGGAGATGCTGCAACAGGGCTTTCTCTCTCCGGTTCCCGAGCAGGGGGATCAACAGTCATCTTGCCACTCCTGGTCATGATGGCATTGCAGCGCTCATTCGGGCTCGGCGGGTGAGGAATGGTCTGCGCTGGTAGAGTACCAGGAGCCCTTTTAGCCACTGACTGGGCCACGCTCCCCAGCTGGGTCTGGATATCCTGCAAAACAGCCTGTGTATTCCTCTGACCAGCTTCCAGGGCCAGGAGTTGACCTGAGGCCTTCTCCATGAACTGCTCAAAGGTGTTGAATTTCTGAGCACTAACACTGGCGAGAGAACCCACCAAGTCCCGCAGTTCAGCCATCTGATCATTCTGCACTGGGGCAGCAGGGGCTGCACCTGGTTGCTGGAATTGCCCCTGTCTGGGCTGATATGGTGGCCTCTGGAAGCCCGGTGGTCCCTGTGGAGCTGGTGGTCTGGGATTTGGCCCAGCCCAGGAGAAGTTAGGATGCTGGCGCCACCCCTCATTGTACGTGTTGCTGTAGGGGTCATTGCGCCTGACATTGTAGATGAAGTTCACCTGCTCCTGGGGTGTGGTCGATTCCTTCATCGCCTGGCAGTCTTCCACCATATGATGGGTGCTCTCGCACCACTGGCAGAGCATCGCCTGCTGCTGTCCGGTCCCTGGAATCATCCCGGAACGATCGATAGCTGAGACCAGCTTCGATACTACCTGCACCAAATCAGATGATTGGGTGCCCACAGCATGCACACCCCGGCCTGGTGCTCTCCTCGATCTCCTGGCAGTGCCCCAATCATAACCATTCTCCGCCATCTCTTCAAAGAGTTGATTCAGCTGTGGCGGGGTTTTGGTCAGCATGTTCCCGCCACAAACCGAATCGATCAGCTGCTTGTCCTCCGGGAAGAGGGCGTGATAGAAGGTGCCCACCTTGAACGCATCGTTGAAACCATGATTGGGACACCTGAGGAAAAGACTGTTGTACCTCTCCCATGCATCCCTGATGGTCTCATCCTCATCCTGAGAAAAGTGTGTAATCTGCTTCTGGAGATCAGCAGTCTTGGATGGAGGATGGTAGCGGGTGAGGAACTTGTCCGCCAGGTTGGCGAACGTGGTGATGGAGCCCGGAGGTCGAGTGTCTAGCCACTCCTTGGCCTGCCCCTCCAGAGTGAAAGGGAAGTACCGCAGCTGGATGGCATCTGCTGGGACCCCGTTGATCTTGATTCCATCGATGAGCTCGTGGAATCGCCTGAGATGTGATCGAGGGCACTCTCCCTCCTTACCACGGAACACTACTGAACCGCGCAGCATGGTGATCACGGAGGTGCTCACCTCAAAGTTGTTGGCTGGGACCTGAGGGTGTTGAATAGGTGACCTCATGTCCGCAGCCCTAGCGGTCCAGTAGGATCCCATGGTCTGCTCCCCGGGGATCACATTGTTGTATAGGCAAGTGTAATTATCAACCCGGGGTCTAGATCTACTGCTTACTCCGTGATTCTCTATTATCTAGCAAACTAAGTCGAGTGATTGTTGTGAAAAGTAAAAGCAACAAGAAAGCAGTAAATTGTTCGGTTTCTAAAGCAGGCAAGAGTCACTCGGGATTGAGTCCCCCTAGCCCCTTGGTTAGGTTCAGTTGCAATTCCCTAACACAAGGAACTAGGGTTCTTCATACCCAAGTGAGAGAAAGGTTCTACTCCATAGAGAGAGAAGAGAAAACAAGAATCGGATTAGTCATACTCATAACGATGAGGATAATCTGCTCCGGGACGATGATTTCCACTCCTATGACGATCTCCAGGCTCGATTCGATGAAATCCAGCTCCAGGACAGCTTCTAGGATGTGTTCTTCGCACTTTCTCTCTCTAGGGCTCTGTTTTTGCTCTGAAAACACGATTCTCTCACTTTTGGCTCGAATTAGGCTTTAAAACCGACTTTCCCGAGTTGCACGGCCAGGTGCACGGCCGTGCACAACACCATTCTGGCCGTGCACCCTCAAAACGCACCGTATCAATTATTCGGCCTTCATCCACCTTGCACGGCCAGGCGCACGGCCGTGCAAGCTTCAAGCCTGCCCGTGCATGGCCTCAACATGAGGTGCACGGCCAAATGGCTCAAGTGCACGGCCGTGCAGCCTCCTGGTCTGCCCGTGCACTCCCCAAACAGCTCGCCCTTCGTCCGTTCTGCGTCCAATCGACCCCAGACTCGCTCCTAAGCCTTCATTCACGTACTAGGACCTGAAATAACACAAACAAGCACAACCTAGCGTGAAATCGGCCTAAAACACGAGAATCAACACCTCAAACGGTGTAAGTATGAGGGTAAAAACATGTGTAAATGACGGTCTATCAGGGGGGGGGGGTTGGTAATAGAACCCTGATCCTTGGCTTCCCCCTTCTTGTTCACTCCATGAAGCTACGGGGTACCCCCATTCGGGTGGTTGTGGATACCCCCACCTATTGTAGAAGCCATTGGGATCCATGATTCATAACCTACATAAACAAAAACACAAAATGAAAATCAAACAAACACAAACCACCCTTCATGACGAAGGGTGGGTAAACAAAACACAACACGAAACATAAAACACGAACAAAACGCAAGATAGAAAATGCTAGAGTAACACTAAGCGACCTTTTCAAAATAATGGACCGCGGTTCCCCGGCAACGGCGCCAAAAACTTGACTCGCTCGAAACTACACCACAATAAAACCCCAACTAGAGCCCAAGTTTTTAAACTCTAGTTGGGTGCAGTATAGAGCAAGTATTTTAATTGTCAACCCGGACCGATCCATGTACCCCTACTTCAATCGCTTAGGTTGTTATCTAACAAGCAACTTTTGGTTTATAACTAATGGAACTACAAACTAAACAAGCAAGGAAAAGTAAATAAAGGTAAACTCTAACTAAGGGAGCTTCACCCAGGAATTGCTTCCCCTAGGAATTGCTTCCCCCTAAATAGCTACCATGATTCGTTGGATTGAATGAAGTCGTGAGGCGTAGGTAGTTGTGAACCTCGGGGGTTAGCAACTAGTGATCAATCTGTCACGGCATCAATTCACTAGCAATCGATTTGTCACGGGATGGATCCACTCACCAAATCTAAGGGAACCACTAGGAGGAGCAACTAGTGATCCATTTATCACGAGATGGATTCACTTGAGGTCGATTTGTCACGGGATCGATACTCTCACTCAGCCACTAGTGGTTGCCTAAGTCTCGCCCTGAAATCGGAGTTTGAGCGGCTTACTCACAACCAACCTAGATGGGCACGATAATCGCGAACCGTAGAGGGATGCATATGTGGTCGGAGACCACATTCTCAATTGCTAAACTGAGGTAAGGATGAAAGGCCGTGTCACTCGACCCTCTCGGTTTAGACAATCGGTAATTGACTTACTCCCTCACTCAAGTCTAAGGTCGGACGACTTAATCACAATTAATCGACTTGCTTAACTCAACATTGAGGGTTGCCCTTGCTTAACCTATTTTAGGTGGCTTAGAAAGCGGAAGGAAAACCAACTCGATTGAGTCTCCCTTGGAAGGGGGATTTTCCTCTCTAAGCTAGGCTAAGGTGGCTAATTAGATTTCTAGCACCTACATGCACAAATCTAAGGGTTCTAAGCACCATACCTGCACAACCCTTAGATTGCTAAGCATGAGCATGCACAATCACCATGAAAACACCTCTAATACTCAAATTGATGCAAATCCACACTTAAGCATTCAATCTAAACAAGTAATTACAAAGTATTAGCTAGGTATCTACAGCACCCAAGAGAAAGGAGTGAGTTTCTAGAGAGAGAGAGGGATTACAAATTTGAGCTCAAGATCTTATTCTTCTAGGCTTGAATCTTCCACCCAAGCCTCCAATGATGCTCCAAGATCACTCTAGCACTCTCTCTCTCTCTCTCTCTCTCTCTCTCTCACTAGAACTCCCCTTTGGTGTTTAGGTTGAAACCCTAGAGAAAGAAAGTGTTTCTTTTCCACAAAAACTAGCTCTCTTTTCTCTCTCCCCACAGATGTCTTTATCTTTGCCCGAAAGTGACCAGTTCACTGACGCGTTTTCATCTGTGAACTCATCGTCGTCCAAACGCACTGCTTGACTTTCCTGGGTTCACGGTCAATGTCCACAGTTCACGGTCTTAGAGACCGTGAACTGCCTTGTCATTAGTAACTTCAGGAACCTCGCTGGAGGCCTCGGTGTTCACGGTTTTTTGTCAAAGTTCACGGTCTTAGGAGATCGTGAACTGACTCGTCCGGCCGTGAACTGCGGCTGTTTCTTGGACGCCTTCAATTCACTAATATGAGGCAATTGTCATGGTACTTCGGACTTTTCTTCGGTTTTTTGTGCTTTTTAACCTCCAATTATCCGAAAATTCGACCTCGACCCTTCCACACATGCTAGGACCTGAAATGTATCAAAACAAGCACAACCTAGCGTGAAGTATGTAGAGGAACGATGATATGCTAAGCTAAATGAACAAAAAATGAGGGGTAAAATGAGTACATTTGAGCCCGAATCACCCCCCCCCCCCACTTGGTGGTTACTATGTAAAACAAGGGTGCAAAGATCCAAAACTACCCTTCAAACATGCTTCAAACATGCTTCATTTGGCATGCATCAAATCATTACAAGCACAAATAATGTGGTTTGGGCATTTCATCAAGCACTTGGTGGGCGACAATCAAATCAAATGAAACCATGCAATTCATACCCACCAAGGCCTCTAAACCATATACATTCATTCATAAGCATGCAACACACAACAACATATCATCATTTCCATCATTTGTCCTTCACCTAAGTCCAATAGAACTCATTCTTAACTAAGGTATGGTCGTTTACTACTACAAAAACTACAAAATAACCTATAAACAAAATTTAAACATGAAAGTACTTTATTTAAAGACAAAGAAAAGAAAATGCAAATCGATGTTGGGGTGACTCCCAACTAGCGTATCTTTTAGGTCTTTTCACCGGACCGTTGTCTTCAAGTACTCGTCCAACTTAGAACCTCCTTGAACTTGGGGTCTCAAGTCTTGATCGGTCTCCCGATAATTTGGTGAAGGCTCGTGTGGATTAGAATGCTTGAGACACCTCCAATGAAACCTCTATTCAAATCTTCTTTGCTTCTATTTGCCTCGAACCAAATCAATCGTTCATCACTAGATCCACCAACATTTATTGATGATTCCTCGCCCTCATCTTGGCAAAGAGAACCCGCAAAAACGCCCTATTCTAAAAGTTTATCAAGGTCAGGTGGAAAGCTTGAGTAGCACGTGTGAGTTGTCGAAGCTTCATCCACCTCAACCTTGTCCAATGGTGGGACATTGATTGTGTCAATCTTCCCCATGTTGAGTACCAAGCTCTTCATCTTCATCAGTTTCTTCTTTCTCCCTCACAACCTCGTCAATGCTCCATTCTTTAGTTCTCTCCTCTTGGTGATTAGGAGCAATGATGGTGTTACAAGCAAGTTCTTCAATATATGGATCTTCAAGGTCCACTTGCTTGTCCACCCTTGAGACTTATTCTTCTTCTACTAATTCCTCTCTTCCTTCATTTCTCAATTACTCTTCTGTTCTTCTCTATCCTCTTGAGCATCTCTTCTTCTTCATTGAGGAAGTCTTAAGTAGATGGGTCGGGAATTCCCTAGATGCAAGATTTCCATACGGTTCCCACCTCTTGCAGCCAACTTTCCTCTCATTTAACATCTTTAATTCGAAAACAACCTGGAGTAAGGTTGGCATCGCTAGCATCTAGGCACTCCGTTAGGATGTTGTAGCGCTCGCATGTTTACTCTCCAAGGCTCTTTGGTGTAGGTGGTGGTGAATGTTGAAGTGTAATCCCACTCCTGTCCATGAGTTTCTCTGACTCGAGCTCCAAGTGGCTCTTTGGATCTGGGGTTGGAGTTGAGTGAGTTGTCTCAAGACATTCTAAATATGGCGTACTTGCCTCAAGTCACTCAATGGCCATCTCCAACTCGGTCTTCACCATAGGTTGTGGAGATGGTTCTTGGTATGATGATGGAGATGCTAGGTAATCATGGGGGTACCATTGATAGGCATGAAGAGGTGGTTGTTCTTCGTACCCGGATCCTTGGCTAGCACCACTACTAGAAGCTTCAAGATAACACCAATTCGGCGGTTGGTGATCTCCCCACTTCTCATGCCAACCACATGGATCCATATCTACACCTAAACACTATTTATATTCACAAAAAACAAAAACCTATGAAAGCCCAAGTGTAAAAAGAAAAGAAAACAAAAAATCATACCACAAGATAACTAAAGGGAACATAACAAAAGAAGAAAGAATACGAGAAAAAAATGGCATAACGAACATAAAACACAAGAAAAAAACACCAAAAACTTGATGCTACACAAACACAAAACACGACAATACAAAGCCAAACTTGGCACAAAACATACAATAACAATAAATGATTAAAATTAGTAGTTCTCGGCTTTTCCTAATAACATAAGACTCCATGGCAACAACGCCAAAAACTTGATCGCTTGTGCCTGATCAAGCTTTAAATTTATGATATGATCCCAATTGGATCAATCCACAATTCACAATTACTTGCCAAAGAAGTCATATCAACTAACTTGAAGAATTCTGATTTTTGGCCAAGTGTTGAAACAGTCTCAGGTAGCCTACTTTGGAAGCTTGTATCTCACAAATGGCTCAATGAAAATGGAATATCGAGAGCTTGTTTTGAAGATAAAGTTTTTATCTTTACATTGGTATACTTTTTAGCTCAAGGGGATGTCTGGAAGGTCACTTTCAAAGCCCATCAAAAGGCTACCTCAAAACCGGAAAACTGTTTGAATTTGGCTAAAACAGAAAACTGTTTTGAGATACCAACTTTGAAGGCCTATATCTGAAGTTTGGAGCATGATCTCAGGCTGATTCAAGTTGGAGGTTAAAGAGGGAGTTTTCTTCTACAAAGGAAAGGAATTTGTTGAGTTCGAATCAACCTAGAAGACCATTTTCGAAGGGCTCAAAGATGCTATGAAGCCTGTTTTCCTAGGCAGACTTGCTTGTGTTTTAAGTTAGTTTCTTGGCCAGCAAGTTACCTTGTTTTACACAAATTCTGTAGCCTTTTCCTGTTCTAATTAGTTTCCATGTTCGTGTAGGGTTGTATTAGGATTTATTGTCTTTAAATACCTTTCCAATTCACGTTGTAAAGCAGAGTTGATTGAATTGAATAACAAACCGAGTGTTTGAGTTCTTGAGTTGCGTCTCAAGAGTTTACCCATTGTCGTTAGCTACGAGTGGATT